GCTAATCATTTTGTCTTTGTTTTAAATAATAATGAAATCCATTTAACTGCAGAGCTGTGTAACACACACTGCTCTCTAACGCAGTGCGAGAGCAGCGTGTTGCGTGTGTGTGTGTGTTGACTATTGAACAACAGCTGATTAGATTTACAGGTGAGTTTTTTTTTTTTTTTTTTTTTCAAAAGTTAGCGAGCTATTTTCTGTCTTGTAAAGAAACAATTACAATATGCTGTAATTCTTTTTTTTTGTTAGGATCTTATTTTACAGATACCTTTGTGACAGAACCTGGAGATATTTATAGATTTTCCACTGATGCAGATGTAGAGAGATGGCACTAAATTTTATTTTGCCATAAACATTTTTTCAGTAAGAGATTTCAACTCTTAATTCTGGTAGAAGGTAGAAAAACATGACTGTTACTTATAGTTCTTGAAGAGAAATCAGAATCAGAGCTTTACAAGATCAGCAATCTAAAATAATTGAATCTGTGCATCCTTAAAATATCACTGTGCAACATGAACAGACTGATTCGCACCTTAAGACGGCTTCATCGAGCTCCTGAGGCCTGTTAGTTGCTCCCATCACCAGAACCCTCTCTTCCCCGCCTGACTGCACCTGAAATCCAGAGGTGCTTTTGTGAAAATGACACCCAAGTTCTCATGTATGTGTGTATGTGTGAGTGTGAGTGTGAGTGAGTGAGTGAGAGAGAGAGAGAGAGCGCAGAATCCCAGATCAAATGTCTGAGCGTGCTCACACCCTCACCCCGTCAAACTCGACGAGGAACTCCGTTTTTAAACGACGGGAGGCGTCGTGTTCCCCCTCCCTCCTCTCACACAGCAAGCTGTCCACTTCGTCTGACAGGAAAGCAGAAAACAGAGAGATATTGTTTCTTTCTGGCCTCTTATAGGAAAGTAAAAGCCTGGAGCAGAGTAATACCAACCAATAAAGATGACGGAAGGCTGCAATTCCCTTGCAACTGCAAACAGCGCTCTGACGAGCTTCTCACCTTCACCCACCTGCAACAAAGACAAAGGGGAAGGTTTGAAAGAGTTGTAGCATCGATTACTTACTGTAGAAAGGAAAGCATGTTTCTTACATATTTAGACGTCAGACTGGCAGCACTTATGTTGAAGAAGGTGGCATTAGACTCTGCAGCAACTGCTTTGGCCTAGAAAGTGGAAACAAAAGCTATAATTCACTGATAAGAAAAGGCTAAATCATAATATGTCCGCGAATGTTTACAAAAACAATACATTTTCATGTTTTTAATGTTCTCTGACCGTACCAGCATGGTTTTCCCATTTCCAGGTGGGCCGAATAAAAGCAAACCACGGGCAGGTGCCCTCAGTCCAGTAAACAGCTAAACAGTAAATATGAGACCGGGTCATAAGTTAAACTAAAAAAAAGCATAAAAACAGTAAGTCGAGATCAAACATCTTGAAATAATAACCTCTGGTCTTAAAGAAGGAAGGATGACGATTTCTTGGAGTGCTTGTTTAGCCAGATCTTGTCCAGCGACGTCTTCAAAGGAGACAGAAGCCCCCCTGCAGAGAACAGGCAGGACAGCTTTAAATGTGGCACCAGTTTTATTTAACAAATTCATACGAAGGAGATGCCTTAAAGTACCTGTCGACGATCTCATTCAGGATCAAGTTGGCCAGTTTAGAGTCCACATTCTTGAAGTTTTTCATATCCCTCTTCGGAGGCTGTCTCACAGCAGGAGGTCTTCCATTTTGCGCTCTTCCCATGCGAGGGGTCACCTTGACGGAGAAAAATTTACAATAAACATTGAGTATTTATTCAATATCATAAAAGCAGATTTAGATGCGCTTTCAGAGAGCAGCTCATGGAGCCTGAACACAACAGTTCATCTACAAACTCTGCATAAAGTTTTCCCTTTAAGTCTTCACCTCCAGTGTTGCCAGTTTGGGCAGGTTTCCACCTAGTTGGGCTAATTTTGAACTGCAGCCCAACTAGGTGGGCTGCAGTTCCCTGCCCCCTCTTGGGAAAATGGAAGAAAATCTAACATTATTGCTCAATTAACTCTGATGTGGAAAATTTCTGAACACCTCTAATTTCTACTTTGCTTTTTGTTTTGTTTTTTTTTAAAAAAAAAAAAAAATGGCTGCTTTTCACAATATTTGGCAGGTTTTTAGAAAGTGTTTATTGTGTGGCAGAAAAACACGCAGCTTTTAGTAAAATACCATAATATCGCACTTATATTAGTTAACTTCTTTTCAAATGCCTAAAATCTGTCAAATGTGACACCAAAGATGAGTCATTGGTTAATCAACTGTAACTGTGTATTAGTATTGTCTGATCAAAACCTTCTGCATGGTTCATTTCTTTAAAGCTTAAATCTATTACAACATAGTTGACTCCAATGAGAAACTTAATTTCATACCCTCCATCTCATTTTTTTCTGATTTGACTTTTAGCATTTTTACTGGAACAGCTTGTCTAATGTAACTGTTATAAATGTGGACAAATTCCCTTATTTAGTCATATTTAGCCTCCCAGAAAACTATAATATATTTTCTTCAGATCCTTTAGCTGTCATATCTTTGACTAAAGTGGAAACAATGTATTTTCCGGAGCTTGAGATGCACTTAGTGGACTCAGGTGATCTCCATTCCTCTCATTGTGAGACTAGTAGCGCCAGCTGGCTGGACCTCCGTTGAATTAGGTCAGTCACTGGTGATTATTTATGCAATCGCTTATTTTAAGTTGCATATTTTTGTTTTATTGTCTATTTTGTAGAAATCGGTTTTCATTTTGGCATTAAAGGATTTTTTGTAACATTTTCATTTTTAAGATGCGTAAAGGCAACAAAAACATTACAGCATCTCACAGTCTGTTTCTTCTTCTTTTTTCAATAATTATGCATATATAAAAAAATGAAAGGTGTAACATCCTAAAGGGCACTTTCCAAACTGCTTAACTTGTTACCTTCTGACAGACTCTTCAGGTGAATAAATGTGTATGTTTTGTTTCTCACAATTATCTCAATATGAATTCAAATACCAGACAAAAACATCACCTTTGGTTCAATGGGTCTTGTTGGGGGTCTGACAGAAGTTGAAGGCCTGACGGTGGAGGACACTGAAGGCTGGCTTTTGGACTTTGGATGTGAATTAGCCAGATTTGAGTTTGAGCCACGAGGACTTTTACTCTTAGATGCTAATGTGGCCTCTGTGAAGGAACAACAGAGCAGAGTAAATACACACAGCACCTTGTACTCAGTTCATCCCCCTTAAGCTTCTTCCACATTTAGTCACAACACAACTTTAAGGATTTTATGAGATTCTGTGATAGACCAACACAAACTAGTAGGTAATTGTGAAGTGATGTTCATAAATGATTTACTTATAAAAACAAAAACAAAAAAAAGCATGGCATGCATTTTTATTCAATTGTCTTATCTGTTATACCTCTAAATAAAATTCAGTGGAACTAACTAACTAACTTCAAGAGTCACCTTATGTTGATAGATGCAAATTGCATCTGGATGGGAAACACACATGTGGAGCAGAAAACGGACACTGTACATCACCCTGAACATAGTATTGCCCCTGTGACACATAGTGGTGGCAGCATCAGGATGTGGGGATGATGAATTTAGCTAAATATGGGCCAATCCTGGAGAGAGGTTGAAAAAAAAACATGAGAGCAGGGTGGAGGCTTAGGATGCATACCTGGAATTACAACAAAGCAAAAGTGCAAATATAACAAATGAATGCCACGTTTTTTTAGAGCTCTTCTTTTAAATTTGTTTTTTGAAAAACGTTTCCTTTAAGTTCAAAATTGCTCCACTACTTTGTGTTGACCCATCTCATAAAACCTTGATAAAATACACTGAGGCTTGTGGAAGTGACTTGTACTTTTGCACTGTTTGATGCTTGATTAGTGAAATCCCACCCACCTAACAAAGCAAGTCGGTCTTTTGCCATGGTGAGATTGGCCTTCATTTTATCTCGCAGTCTCTTCGATCGATCATATTGCTCTCCTGCTGATGAAACCGAAAGTGTACAGTGACGTTTATGTGTGTTGACTGGAGTTCTCGGGGAGCTCAAATAGTCTACTTACCTGTCCCTGTGATCTCCACAGCAATGCCTCTCTCTAGCTCAGCTATTCCTTTCTTGTACCACTGCACGGCTTCCTCCTTCTCTCCTGTTTACACACCGAGGTGAGAGAGGTTAATTACAGAGCTGTCAACCAGCTGATATGGTAAACAAACAAACCAACCTACCGTTGTCATCTTCATCGATCCTCAGTGCCTTCGATATATGCTCAAACGCCTGCTTGTGGTAGTTTTTAATAAGTTCTCCGCTGTCTTTGTGCTTAGGAGCGTTTGTTTTGGCAGACATTACTCCAGCGCTACTTTCTCCTCCTTCTGGCTCAATTAGCTCGTTGTGAAAACAAACAGCGCGGCATTTAAAATCCAAATGTCGAGGCCTGTTAAGGAAGTAGTCTGTTTTATATCATAAACTCTGTGTGTTAAATGTAACTAAATATTTATACACCATCGCTCGATTGCACCGCTAGCTTCCGTTTTTGTCGCTTCAATTATTCTTCTCCCATGTGTTATGGTGAAAACAGACCGCGATGTCAACTCGTAGATCGCTACTGCCACCTACCGTAGCGGAAGATGTATTTCGTTTTTGTGACAAGAACAGAAGTACCGTACAAATTAAATATAATTTTATCTGAAACGTCCATACTAAAGTTCCTCCTTCCCACATCAGCCGGTTCAGTTGTTCTCCTACCCGCTTAATGCAAAAAGAAAATATTTATGACAAATTGTTGGAGGACTTTAAAATATGGTTTTGAAGGCGCAGGATGCAGCGCCCTGGTTCTATTTTGGAGAAGTGGTGAAGAAACTCCACCCCGATGGCAGTCACTCTCCTCGCCGGCCAACAAATGGTGCGAAGCCTCTAGTCCAAGTAAAGGCTCCACCCTCTTTACTTATTTATCTAACCAATCAAAATACCCGACGTCACTTTGATAACAGTTTTAGCCACGCCCCTTACCTGGCTTTTCCAGACAAATCAGTAATCCTCTGTTAGCGACTGTGACAGCTCCAGCCTTTCGTATTGTTGTCGTTATTGTTTCAAACTGGCACGGTATTTTGTAATTTGTGCCTTTTTAGATTCCACGGTTACATTTCCGGGCTGTCAGAACGGGCTGACTGAACTTACTAACCGGTAACCACACAGAGGCCATAAGCTAGCTAGCCCAGCTGTCTGTACAGTCCAACTGCCGATTGCTCTTTGTCTATTGAAGTCAGCTAGCAGTACGCGCTACATTATCTGTCAGTGAGCAAACGCCGGAGTTTACAATTCTGTTTCATTTTCCCCGGTTTGACGAGAATCTAGCGAACCAAGATAGGCGGCTTGGGAACCAAGATGTCAAATCGAGTGGTGTGCAGAGAAGCAAGTCACGCCGGGAGTTGGTACTCAGCTTCGGGTAACTGTCAGCTTAGCACGGTCTGAGTTAGCATGCTGAATCTTAACTCATGTTTTTCCTTTTTTATTGTGTTTTTTATTATTATTTTTGTGATGTATAACCTGCAAAATATAATAATGGTTTATTTCTTAGTTTTTCCTCCGCTGACGTTAATTGCCGATAAATAAAGCTAAGATAAAGTCGATAGGCTAACATTTATCTGATAGGATGCTCCTTTTCTGTGTCACCTTATGAGGTGCACGGTGAGTTTAAGCTCATCCAGCACTGTATCTTGTGGTTGTGTCTGTAAACAGGAGAGCTTCTGCGGGGAGCAAAATTACACTGGTGGGGTTTTTGAAGTCAACCAAAGCTAACATGGCTAACATAGCAGAACTTCCTGGCCTACATGCTAACTGATGCACTCTTAGAAAAGTCCCAGCGCTCTTTAAACGTTCAGCAGTATGAGAAACTGTTGTCATTGTGGTCTCTTGTTGTTCTCCGACCCGCTTAGGTAATGTGTTGAAATTCTCCCTGGCGTCAAACAAAGGACTGGGCAGGGCTTGGCAGAAACCAGAAGTTTCATGTTGCACCCCTTCCCCCATTTTACAAACCGTGAGCTATTTCTTATAGAAAAATCCCTACAAACCGCTCAGTTTTTCCACTCAAAAGAAGAGTGGGTGCAGTAGACAAAGTTTTTCCTCAAGACTAGCACTACTTCAACATATTATTACTCATGTATAAGTACAAAAGTATTTGGTAAAAATGCTACTTGAGTACAGAGTGACTGATCATAACAAATGATGTAATATCATTTGGAAGTTATTTTAAAGATTAAAATAAATCATGCAAATGAGCAGCATGATTACAAACTAAATTCAGACTGAAGAAGTCTATCTAAAACTTATGAAGCTAATACTTACTTTAGGTAATGTATGTTAGATCAGGCTAACGTAGGTCCAGTGACAGTGCATGGTGTTTACTGTATGTTGATTGGACCTCCAATGGTCCAGCAGATAGAAAATAAGATTAGAACAAGCTTATGTATAAATAACAAGTCTCAATTTAACATAAACTGTAGGTGTGTGTCTGTAGCATTTTTTTAAATGTCATCTAGTGATATTTTTCACAGTGGGTAAAATTATCCAGATATTTATTCAAGTAAGAGCACTGGTACTTCATAATAATAATAAGTAAAAGTAAAATGAATGGTGTAGTAAAACCACTTCTATCAGTAAATTTTTCTTTTCCCAAAAAAGTTACTCAAGTAATGTAACTGGTTACTACTACTCACCTGTACTAGTGTTGAGCAGAGTGCAAACGCATTCAATTTGCATGTTGGCTGAGCTTTTAATATTACAAATCCAAGAATGCATTTCCTTTTAAAATTTTACTCATGGATTTTTTTTCCTATCAAATCATTGAAGTTCCAGTATGTTTTTTTTTAATTTTTATAACCTATATTTAACTAGATGAATCTTACCGAGATTCAAAGTCTCTTTTTCAAGAGAGACGTGGCCAGGAAGGGCAACAACACAGAGATGACTGCCAATTATAAAACCACAGAACTCAAAATGCAATTAAAAATAACAATTAAAAAATGTAATTAGATCGAACTAATTACAGTTTATTATAGCTGCTTTCCTGTGGTTTTCGTATGTCTTTGCTCGTCTGCACACAGCACCGTATTTATTTTTATTTATTTGTTTTACTTTTCAGGATCCCAGCTGAATGCACAACTAGAGGGCTGGCTGTCCCAAGCACAGTCCACAATCAGACCTGCTAGAGCCATCATTGCGCCGTAAGAGCACACTGACAACCATCCCTAGAGCATGTGAAATAGTATTCACACTTTACCAACACGTTTTCTGCTTGCAGCCATGCCGGGTATACCTACTGTGGTGCTTGTGCAGCACATGCTTACAAGCAGGTGGATCCCTCTGTTACGTAAGGCCCTTCATCTTTCTGGCTTTATTTCTCATTTAAGAAAAACATGTGCTAAATAAATTCTCTTACGTTTAGAGTTAGGGGTTAGGGTACTTCAGTACTTAAATAGAACAAACAGATGCTGTGTAGATAACAGATAATAGAGCTGGTGTCTGGTTGTGTGTTAATGGCGCGAGTGAGATAAATTCCTCTTGGTTCGCAGTCGTAGGGTGTTCATTCTGGGACCTTCACACCATGTGCCCCTCTCCCGCTGTGCCCTGTCGCCTGCAGACGTCTATAGAACGCCCCTCTATGACCTGAGAATCGACCAGAAGGGTACTTGCAGCTTTCACTCCTGACTGTGATTTCTGCTTCTGCTCTATATGTCTGTCTTTAGAACTTAAGTGTGAATTTTTTCCAGCTGCTGATTTATTCAGAGAGTTTGGATTGAAGAACATACATTAAGGGTTTACATATATACATATATATAAATGTCTTCTCCTTTCACGACTTAATTTGTTAATAAAGTTGAAAAACATATTTCTCTTTTCTTCCACTTCACAATTATTCACTTTGTATTGTTGATTGTTGACATGAAATTTCAATAAAATATATTTAATTTTGTGGTTATACCTTGGCAAAATGAGAAAAAAAATGCCCAGGAGTATAAATTCTTTTACCGGGTGTTTGCTTATATTTACTAAAATTCCTTGGAAGCATAGTGATTTATCTGAACTGTTAGCTGTAATACTAGAATTAATATTTTAAGATAAAAACAAAGTTGACCTAATTCTTTGTAATTATTATGAATCACTACACAGAAAAGGAAAAGTTTGAAGTTGTATTTGACAGCTCAGATAGGTTAAACATCCTTCAGCAATTTTTAAAGGTTGATTCTATGATTTTATATATATATATATATATATATATATATATAATTTTTTTTAATTACAATTTCTTTTTGTCATCTTTATTTACACCTTAATGCTTACTCATGCTGTACTCATCAATTTGATCTGAAGCCAAATCAGAGCTTTATCGAGCACTGATAATTAAACTCTGTGTTTTGCAGTTTACGCAGACCTCTGGAAGACTGGGTTGTTTGAGAGGATGAGTCTGCAGACAGATGAAGATGAGCACAGTATTGAAATGCACTTGCCTTACACTGCTAAAGCCATGGAGAGGTAATGCACATGGGAAGGATGCAAAGTTTCACAATTTTTAATCCAAGATGCAAAGAATTGAAGTAATCCTTCAAAGCTGTAGCAAGGCACAGGTTACATGGAAGACATCTTTCCAACAAGATGGATTTAATTTTTGGCCTCAGGTGAAAAATGCTTGATTTTACTTATTCACTGATCTGCCCATGCAGTTTTATTTCCAAAGAAATCAAAATCGCGCGCGCACACACAGTAGTGAACCCCAAAGACATAAATTTGACTGAAGGTTTGATTTTGTCTTTCACCACAGTGTGCTGTACACAGAATGATTTATAATGTTTTGCACTTTTACTTAACAGAAAGCTTGAACTGATGACTAAATAACATTACAATGCTTAGCAGTGTTTGTCCACAAAACCCCATCTTCAAGCTCCTCTAAATTAAACAAACCTTTTTTCTATACCAAGTCTCTTCTTTTATAATTTCTGAGTAGAGACTCAGCACGTTGATACATTGCAGTGGAAATGTATCGATATGCAGGTCGATTCGGTACGCTATTTTGTCGGTTTCTATTGTAAAAGCGACTCATAGAACCGATCAGAACTGAAACAATCCTACCGTGTTTCAGTTGAAGTCCATAGGACTACAGTACAGACAAGGCGGCGCTGCACAACACACTTCATTGATTGAGGGACAGAAAATGTCACTACTTGCGACAAAGAGGAAACTTACGTTTGTCATGGGCATGGGTTGAACCCCGCATGCCCAGTGAGAGTCCAACTGGAGGCTTAAACGCTCTCCTGAATGTGCAGGATCATAAAATGATGTACAGAGCCACACCCAACTGTACTGCTCAGTGGAAACGAGATATGGATGACGTTCTGCTGGCAAACTTTGTTTATTGGAGACACATAGCCACATTTTCCCCTTGTATACATATAGCGTAAAGCACAGATCTGGGTTAGGATCTGTGCTATCCATCCAGTGAAGTAATGTGTCTTTTAGCAAACATCTTGCATGTCTAATAATAACAACAAGCTAATCGCTGATCTGATTGTGACACTTACTGCATTGCAAAGAAATAACAAACCAAGTCGAACCCAATGTGTTTTCAGGTGCAGTTTTGCTGATATCTAATGACTTTGCACAATGAGTGCATAAGGCACTTTGCTGACTTTGAAGTGTAGAAACGTTATCTGCGTGCGTTTCTTGTGGAGGCACGTGCACACATCCAGATGGAGATTAAAGAACCGCAGTGTAACGTCACAGAATGTCTCCATCAGATTCTCACACTTTCCTCTTTCCTCCTGGAGGCCAGGCCCAAACTTCACCTATTAGCTGCTCAAACATCAAAAACCCACATCAAGCATGCTCATACAAACCACGCAACACGCCTTTGTTCAACTGTTCAGTTTTTCTGAGAAAGACACATCTGCTCTGAATATAGTAGAAAAAATTACTTTAAATGATCAATCTTCAAAGTAGGTATGAATTTAAGCACAGGTGGCATGAAGCATCCAGAGGCAAACGGCTCCTTTTGTTGTGTACCTGAAAAATCTGCAGAGGAACAAAATGCTGTGGCAATATAACAAACACCTCTGATTCCCCTTGCAGCTACAAATTGTTGAGCCATTCAGACCCTTTTTCCATTAGCGTGGCACAGTGGCTGCTGTGCACTTTGCTCTTTGCTACAGTCTTGTCTGACTTGTGTTGCACTTTTTCTCCAGTTAAGGAAAACAAAACTTGAAAATGTTTTTGTATTGTGTCCAACTGTGCTTTTCCAGTCAGTTTATTTATATAGCGCCAATTCGCAGCAAGTGTTGTCTCGAGACACTTTACACAAATCATTCCAATTCAATCATACATACATTCAAATTGATCCTAGTAATCAAACAGCGCAGTAAGCTCAATTTATTATTCAAATTAGTTTAAAAACTGTCTAAGGAAACCATGCAGATTGCATCAAGTCATTGACTTCTCTATATTGTTACTCCTAATGTGCTGCAACTTGGCAGATAAGTGGAGAAAAAGTCATCTAATGGATGATACCAGTTATGTTCCGTTTCTTTCAACTCTTTGCAGAGCAAAATACGGAATCTTTTTTTTTTTTTGCTTCTCGGTGCCCTTATGTTTGGGGTAATCCAAATTACACTGATTCACATGAATAATTGATAAAACCTTCTGTTACTTCGGGTGGTGACAGGCTTAAAGAGGGATTATGCAAGAGATTGAACAGAGTACTCTGGCTCTTTATGTAGGAAAACCTTTAATTTCTGTACGCATGAAGCTGTTGTATAGAGTGTGTCTAAAATGCAACTCGAGTTGTTCTCTTAATCTGATTTTGCAGCCACAAAGATGAGTTCAGCATTGTTCCTGTGCTTGTGGGTGCTCTAAGTGAGTCTAAGGAGCAGGAGTATGGGAGGCTGCTCAGCAAATACCTGGCAGATCCTTCTAACCTTTTCATAATCTCTTCTGACTTCTGCCACTGGGGTAGGTATCAGAAACTGAAAGAATGCTGACATTTTCACCGAGTTTGTGTCGTGCATGACAAAAGAAACAATTTATTTTTGTTGTTAATTTCTCTGTTGAAGGCCAGCGGTTTCGCTACACGTACTACGACGAGTCTCAAGGAGAGATCTACAGATCTATTGAGCATCTTGATAAAATGGTAACTACTTAGTAAGACAGGGTCAAATGTGAATGTATTAGTAGATTGAAGAGCTCTAGCAAATTGTACTAAGTATATCTCATTTACTGGATATGGAAGTAATGTTGATACCATTAGATTATATAGATTTTTCTTGCTGCTGCTTATGTTTTTTATGGAGGAGACTAAAATAATGGTTGATCTAAAGATATGCTCTAGTATATTTCTTCAAGAGGCTTTCTTTATGTTTGAACATACATATTAAATAAATTAGTCATATTGTGAATTACCAACATAAGCTTTTTTTTTGTGAAAGTGTTGCAACTTATTCAAACTGAGATAAAGGTTTGAATGTAAGACAAAGAGGAATTCCTCCTTGTATTTATAAAAATCAACATATTAGAAGGCATATCCAAAATGTTTTAATCTAAAAATAGGGCAGATTCTCCCTGGCTTTGGTCGAACACCCCAATGACAGAAAACATGAAGTCCAAAAATATTTTTTTGTCTTTCTTTTTTTTTTTACACTGTCAACATGGTTTGACCTACATTTTTTAAAATGTAGTTTATTCTTCTTTTGTAGGGGATGAGCATTATAGAGCAACTGGATCCCATTTCTTTCACCAACTACTTGAAGAAGTACCGTAACACCATCTGTGGACGTCACCCTATTGGAGTGCTGCTAAATGTAAGAACAGCTGAACACTTAATCTATTAGTACTGACTTTTAGTGGATAATTTTCATTGCTGGTTAAATATCCAAATGTTACTAACACTCTTGCTGCATGAAATGAGCAAACTGTTGGTATTATTTTACACTCATTAAGAAACTGTTATATTGTTGTTAAGATGGTAATAAATGTCATTTTTACCTAGTGTGTGTGCATATCTGTACACACACACTGACACCTTCAGGTGATTTAAAGTGATCAATTAATTTTTACACTGAGAGGAAGCCAGAGTACCTGGAGAAAATCCATGCATGCACAGGGAGACCCCCCAAAACGGAGAGAAATAAAAACTTTTCAATTATTTTAAGATTTTTAACAGATTTCTGTGCTACAACACCACTTTGCGTTTTATCACATTGAGTCCCAATTAAAAAAAAAACACTGATTGTCTTTTAGTGCCACACAATTTAGAAAGTTCAAGGAGTATGAACAAGGAAGGGTCATAGCAATGTTTGCATAATTTGTCTGCTTGCAAACCATCACGTAGAAACTAACAATCAGTTTCTGTTTTGCAGGCTGTGGCCGAGCTTAGGAAGTCTGGTTTAGAAATGAACTTTTCTTTCCTGAACTACGCCCAGTCGAGTCAGTGCAGGAACTGGCAGGACAGCTCCGTGAGTTACGCTGCTGGGGCGCTCATCGTTCATTGAGGTCAACTTCTGCAGGGGCCACTGCAACGCCGCCACCCTGCCCTTACTATCTTAATGCCATAACCTTGACCCATGATTCCCCCGATTCCTACCCCGATGCCCCCCAAGTCCCTCAGTAATGCCCACTATGTGCAGGAAAAACTTAGATAATTGAAGCCAATAAAATAATTTCCCTTAAGTCCCTCAGCTCTTCTTCACTTTTCTCCACCCGCCTCTTAGTTTGAAGTGTCTTCCGAGCTTTTCGTTGCGGTGAAATTTCAGGAGAGGATGGAGGTGACTGGGTTGGAGGAAGCTCCAGGAGTAGCAAATCTTTCTTTTTGCATTATCCCCATAGACCCTCCTTTATGTTTTCCCAATAATGACGAGCAACAGAGATGTAAAAAAAAAAAAAAGGATTTATTTGGATTTGATGTGTTCTCTTATAACTCGCCCCCCCGCCCCGAAGAATACCAATTTAAATAAAACTGCAGATGTTATTGGAGAATATTCAGCTCTTCCCAGATGAGGATGGAGTGAGTCTTCTGACTGCATCAAGCCTAATGCTACGCTAACTTGGGAAACCGTGTCATAGGTAACTGCTACCACTATACAGCATAAAAAAGGGCTGCACTCGACAAAGTTCACATAGACCCTACTGTATAAAACCCAAAAAAAAAAACATACACACATTATAATCATAATATTGGTTTAATATATATATATATTTTATTCATATTTTAACCTTTTTTTACTTTATAGAAGTTTTGATAGATGTGATAGTATTAACTGGATTAGTGTGTAGATTTGAGTAGCAGCTACGTCAGTTTGGCTCTGAGGTTGTCAACATGGTTTGGCCTGTAGATCGATGTGTGTACCACTGATCCTTTGATCCAGTCGTATGTTTATGGCATTATAGATTACATTTTCAGCACCTCGCTGCAGTTATGGATTCCACAGAAATGTAATCAAATCCGGACTCTGGCACCTTCTAGTTACAGTTTACACTTCCCTCTTTGATCTCTGTAGTAATTCGCTCTTCACACTGAAGTGATTACTTTTTTTTTTTCCCTTTTTCCTTGAATTGTAAAATGTTTTTGTTACATATTGAGTCGAGCTTTCTTTCAATGCGATCGAAACCAAGCAGCCAAGCTGGAATGACCACCACCTTCAAAGATTACATGTCACGTCTGTGAAGGAGGTTTTTAATTAAGGCTTCGAGTTTTTGACTGAATAATGTCAAAAGGTTTTGCACAACACCACATTTCAGTTTCTGTCTTGGCTACTTTTGCAACTTTATCTTTCGAAGTTCCATGTCATAATTATTTCAAAATTGGTTTGGTCTAAATTTGTTATAAACCAGAACATAGTGGATGGTCAAAGTTTTCTAAATCTCCTCAAAAACATAATGATCTGTCAAATTTCCCCCAGAACACTGAGAGATATTGCTACCAGCTGCATTTTGAATTCATTGGCTAAAGGTTTGGAAATACTGAAGCACAAAAGCCCAAGAGGACTGTTGCTTTTACAATGCTTTGCAAAATTATTTAGCCCTCTTGAATTGTTGAGGTATTTTATTGTATTTTATATATCACACCAATAAAAAACATTGTTACAAAGAAAAATCGGTCTAAGAAATGTGACATAGGTCTGTTTTTAGCCACCCTCCCTTCCCCTCCAGGTCTGTAGGGTATGTTTCTACTAGCTTTGCACATACGGAAACTGAAAGACAGCAGTGTATATTTTAATGGCATTGCATTAAAACTTTGCTTGCCAATGACATATTTGGCCATTTGGATGGGCTTTCAGTCTCCTTTATTTTCCGCCACCTAATAAAGAGTTTACTGGTCAAAGGAGAGCAGGGGAAATGTAGGTCAATTGTGATCAATAACGTCATTGCAACTTTTATTAATGACGTTTTAATGTTATCTTTTTTTTTAACATGCAGCCTTCAAGAATGGCTTAATTTCTGTTAGATTGGATGGAAATTATCTGTGATAATCACTTAGTTTTCCAATTGGATTTAATTCTGTTCTTTGCCTGGACCATTCTGACATAACTTGTTGGAGGTTAGTTCTCCCAGTAGAGGCACATTCCCCCCTTCGGTCCCCCAGTCTTTTGCAGTCTCTGCCATGTTTTTTTCCCAGCTTCCCTGTGTGCGGATGAAAAGCATCCCCAAAGCATGTTGTGCAGGTGGTGTGTACTAAGCATCCAGTGTTGCTTTTCCACCACATTTGACCAGAGCACATTTCTCTGTGTGTGTGCAGTGACCTTACATGACAAATGGGACTTCTTGTGGCTTTCTTCTTGCCACATTTCCTTAAAGGCCAAATTTGCGGAGTGAATCTGTCGACAGGTTGTCCCACCAGAGCTGTGGGTCTCTCCAGCTCCTCCAGAGTTACTCTGGTTCTCGTGACTGCTTCTGTCTGGTCCATCTTATCTCATTAGCCTTATCTTATTGTGGTTGTGCAATACTGTTTTGCAGGCCGTGCATAACGTTCTACCAACTTCAAAATAATGCATTTCTTTGTGACGGTATAAAATACCAATAAAACGCTCTTCAGTTCTAGGCACAAATGTGAAAAATTTAAGGGCGTAAATACTTTTGCAAGGCTGTATAACGCTGTAAATTGGCCACAGGAGCTGATTGGGCATTAATCATTCCTAAAAGCGACATGAGTTTTTTATAGAAACTTGACAATACGCAGCGTGATGCATTTGCTGCTCATGGTAAATTACATTTATATTTTGCTGCTTTAAGGTAATTCCCATCTCATTCCACATCTAGTATTAACGCAAACCTTGTTGAACCGAGTGGAACGCAGACTGAAGGCTGAACCCCCCGACTCACAAGACCTCTTATGCTAATTTACAGGAAACTAGCAAAGCATGACACACTGTGCTATTGTGCCTTTTATCACTGTTGCACATTTATATATATATAAATATATATATAAATAGATATATAAAGCATATTCTCACTTTCAGTCTTATTTTCTAAAATGTGTTTTCAGTTTTTGTGTACTCTTTCCCCTCCTCTTCCCTTTTGCCGACAGCCCAACTTAGTTTCCGGCCCGCGCAACACTTCATCACTTCTTACCCTGCACACCCGTCTGTTGGGCTAAAATGGCACCCACTGTTATCTCCTTTCTCCAGCGAGGGAGTTCTGTTCTGTCAAACTTCATTCTTGTAGCGAGAGACAAATAGCTTAACCTCGACACTGTTCATTTCTCTGTCTTTGGTTATTTGTCTTTTTAGAGATGTGTTTCTTTTATATTTTCTTTTCCTCTCTATTTAGGATTTGGAAGTTTTCTCATCGTAAAACTACACAAAAAAAAAAAAAAAAAAAAAAAAAAATTGTCTTTTTAACTCCCCAAAGGGGGTTTTTTTTTTTTCAGGCTCC